CCGGTGGGCACCCGCGCGGCGTTCAAGCCTACCTGGTCCCCAGCAGGTTTCTGGTCGCCGTTGGTGGCCTGCAGCAGCCCCGCCTCTTCAGGAAGCTTATCTGACTTAACTTCAACTACAACCTCGTCTTTACGGGCATCAGGCTTGGTGCTGGGGGGGAGGGGGAGGGAGGGGACAGCTTTGAGACATAGTGGACAGATGCCAGCACCGGCAGGCGGTGCAGTGAGGGGCCAGGCCCCCGGGCTCCTCCCTGCGGGGGGCTGTGGGCACAGGAGAGCGGCTGGGGTTGGGGATCAGCCGGTTCAGGAAGAGCTCTCAGTTTCTCTGGTCCATCCCGGGACGCTGTGCAGGACCTGGGCACTGCCCCCGCGGGCAGCAGCTGGAGGCAGCGGGGCAGGTCCCGTGCCAGGGGCTCTTTTCCCTAAGCTCCCTGCAGCCGGAAGCTCTTGGTCCCAGCCCCGAAGCCGCCTAGCGCTGCTGAGGGCGGTTGGGGCAGGGAAGCGCGCGGGCAAATGCAATGAGATGGGTAGCGTGGATGGTGGGTGCGCCGCGAGCCAAGCCCTGGGGTGCGGGTGGGGAGGGGCAGGGCGGTGCGCTTACATGTCCTGCTTCCCGGTGCGGCCGCACGGGATCTTGCCCTTCTTGTGCAGGAAGTAGAGGACGGCGCCCAGCACGGCCAGCACCAGGATGCACACGATGACGGCCACGATGATCACGCCCTTGCTCTCCTGGGGCTTCTGCTCTGCTGACGAGAGGGGGGGGTAGTTACGGGACAGACGAACCCCTGGGGCAGCTGAGGGGTACATGCGGGGGCCCTCCCAGCGCGGCTTAGCTCCACTTGGGCCGCAGCAGGACACGGCTGGGCTAGCGTTCGGCATTATGGAGCTCTGGGGTACCTGCCTGGCTCTGCCCTGGCTCCCTGCTTTCCCAGGGGGATACACACTGTTTGCATGGATGTGATCTTAGACCCATGTGGACCCAGGGCCCCAAGCAGACAGTGGGCACGAGCACAGAGAACTGCATCGGGGGAGCAAAGGTGCACGGGCCAGAGGCTGAAGGAACCGAGGGAAGAAGAGGGGGGAGATGCTGTTGGGGGCTTAGGAGCTGCAAAGACTAAAGTCAGGTCTGACCAGGGGCCACGGGGGCTTAGGATCATACAGCACGAGGGTGGGAAGGGACCTTAGGAGGTCACATCCAGTCCAACCCCTTGCTCAAAGCAGGACCAGCCCCAGCTACATCATCCCAGCCAAGGCTTTGTCTAGCCGGGTCTTTAAAAACTTCTAAGGATGGAGACTGCACCAACTCTCTGGGAAGCCTGTCCCAGTGCTTCACCACGCCCCTAATGAAAATGCTTTTCCTAATATCCAACCTCAACTCCCCTTGCTGCAACTCGAGCCCATTGCTCCTTGTCCTGTCATCTGCCCCCACTGAGGACAGCCCAGCTCCATCCTCTTCGGGCCAACCTTGCAGGGAGTTGCAGGCTGCTATTCAATCCCCCCTCGGTCTTCCCTTCTGCAGACTAAAGAAGCCCAGTTCCCTCAGCCTCTCCTCACAAGTCATGTACCCCAGCCCCCAAATCATTTGTCCACGTCCCTTCTGTAGTGGGGGCCCAAAACTGAACACAGGACTCCAGATGTGGCCTCACCAGTGCTGACGAGAGGGGAAGAATCACTTCCTTTGACCTACTGGCAATGCTCCCACCGATGCAGCCCAGGATGCCGTTAGCCTCCTTTGCAACAAGGGCGCACTGCTGGCTCCTATTCAGCTTATTGTCCACGGTCACCCCCAGGTCCTTTTCTGCAGAGCTGCTGCCCAACCAGTCAGCCCCCAGCCTGTCCCGGTGCAGGGGACTGCTCCATCCTAAGTGCAGGACTTTGCACTTGTCCTTGTTGAACCTCATGAGATTTCTTTTGGCCCAATCCTCCAATCCGTCAAGGTCTCTCTCAATCCTAGCCCTGCCCCCTGTATCTACTACTCCCCTCAGCTTGGTGTCATCTGCAGCCTTGCTGAGGGTGCATCCATCTCATCTTCTTGCCGAAGGTGCTTCCCCCCTCCTTAACCCACTATCTGGGGCTGCAACGCCCGCTGCGACTAGGACGTGTCCAGGGGTGCAGGACCCTGATGGTAAGCCCTGCTCCGTAACGCTCCCAGCCCCAGCTCTCATCACTTGGGGTGGGGCAGGAGTTCCTGGGCCCCAAAGCTGGGGCTAGGGGCTCCCGCCAGGGACCGGCAGGGCACAGGAGGGGAGCTGGGCAGCGTGCATCCCCAGCACTGCCCGAGTGCCGATCCCAGCCTCCCACTGGCTCTGGGTGCTCACAGCAGAGACCGAGAAGGGCCTGCAGCGGGGGGCTGCCGAAGACAAGACCCTGCCCCAGGCAGAGGGGAGGACTGGGCCCCACAGTGGAGAGCAGGGGAGGGAAAGGGGCTTGCAGGGAAGCAGCAGGAGCCAGCGGTGCATCCAGTCACTGACCTTTCTTGATGGTCTCCACTGGGCCAGCGTTAAAGGATGGAGAGAGCGAGCTGAGCCCAGGAAAGAGCTGAGCCCGTGGCAGCTGCCATGCTGTTCCCTCCCTGCCCCCCCGGGGACCACTGTAGGGGCACCCCCTTCCTCCCCTCGCCTCCCTCCGGGGAGGGGCAC